CCCCCCCCCCCCCATCGTTTTTGCATGAGGGATGATTGGGTCGCTGTTGCCTGCTGCCTGTGTGCATGGGAGTGATGTCCGGCCGGTGTCTCCCATGGCTCTAACCCTTGCACGCTGTGTGTTTCCTTCTCTCCCACGCTGACCCCCGTTGCAGGCTCCACGCCAATACGAGGTGAGAACTGCAACCGCACGCGCGTACATGCACTGTCACCTGCACTGTCACATGCACAAAGACAAATATCCCCATGTGCAGGCTATAAACAGACTGTTGGGGTAAGTGCTGTGAGCGAGGACCTATGAAGGCTGACATGGCACAAGACTGGCCGGGTGGCCAACACCACGCACCGGCCGCCTTTGTCTCCCCAGTGCTGATGTTTACACACCTCACCAGGCACCAATATAAGGCTGAGTTGACCAAGGGCAGGTTTCAGGACTGCTTAAAAAAATCTGGCAATATTATTGGCGGTGAGCAGGAATCGAACTCGGGTCGCCGGGCTCCGTATCGCAGTGCGCTAACCGCGGGACTGCCGCTCCACACGCGCGCACACACTCGCACGCGCACACACTCGCACGTGCACACACTCGCACACGCGCACACTCACACGCGCACACACTCACACGCGCACACACTCGCACGTGCACACACTCGCACACGCGCACACTCACGCGCACACACTCGCACGCGCGCACACGCTTGTATCCGCGCAAGGCGACAGCTTAGAAGGAATTATTGTAAACTTTAAATATCTGTGTCCTCCGCGCTTACTTTGCTACAAACCAAACAAATCCCACGCCCCACCAAATGTACGTATCTACGTTAATAATTCATAATAATAAATCCACGTTGTGGTTATTTCTTTTTTTGGTGCTATGTCACGGTAGATTTTTTTTATTCTCCCTCATCCTGTGCGCGTGGGGCGGAGGAGGAAGGGGGGGGAGATGATTTGGATGCAGAAGTGAAAGTCATTTGCATGACGCCGTGTGGGAACTTGCAATTGCACCGCAGCCTTGGTGGGGTAGGGGGGTCGGGGGTGGGGGTCATCCGAGGCAAGGATACAATATCTTCGGCACTCTCCGAAACAACTGGAGTTATCTTTTCCTTTTTCCTCCACACAGACACATAGACACAGACGTTGCTAAATTGAAAATCTCCGGAGCATTTTTTTTCCGGCGTCCGAGATTGCCAACCAGAGGCCCTGCTGAACGCGGTGCGGTTGCCCCTCTACAAAAGGGACGCGCATCTTCTTCCGCAAGCTTTCCTCGCGTCACGCCGTGTGCACGTGTGGGCCTTGCCCTGGGTCGAGCGCGTGCACAACGGCGCGATCTCACCCAAGCGTGCTCCCTCTTCCGAATTTATCGCCACGCGGCTGTGTGCTTGTGTGCGCGTGCGTCGTGGAGAGCGGCGGCGCAGCGGTGAGCGCGCCGCGCTACGAACCCGACGGGCCAAGTCCGATTCCCTCTCACGGCCAACACCGGTGACGATTCTCAGAACCGGTTTTGGGCCTCCCCTAGGTCCACTCGGCCTCAAATTAGTACCGCTGGTGCGGTGTGTAAATTATTACAACTGGGGGGAGACAAAGATGGCCGGGCGTGGTGCTGGCCAACCACCACCTTTTGTGCCGTGCCGGCCTTCATAGGTGCTCGCTAACAGCACTTGCCCCAAGAGTATGTTTAAGGCTGTACGGGGGGTCTTTGTCTTTGTATTTATCAGATTCCGAATATTTATTTATACTGCCGGAATCCGATGAGCTATGAAGCTCTTTGTTCACAGATGTCCAGTATTGTTAACATGGTCGGCTCACATTCCAGACAATGCTGGTCGGATTCCAAGTCTGTGTTGTAATACCTCCCCCGGCTGTGTACGTGCGTCCCCGTGACTTATTGCTGGGCGCTCTCCACCGGCACAGTGGGGTGCGTAAAAAGCCTCGTGCCGGCGAGCCCGGTGGGTACACGGCGGCGTGCAGGGCTGCTACGTGCTCGAGTGTGTACGCACATCTCCCTAAGTGCATGTGAGCGTGCATGAGTGGCCGGAATTTCCTATGCGTGCGTTAATATGCATCCTCAACCCAGGTCTCGCAGGCACTCGACCACTCTGAGTTTGTAGCCACCGGAGCTGCCCTCCCCGTGGACTCGTATAAACCACGATAAGAGCACGGACAAAAAAGCGAAAGGAGAGGAGGAGGAGGGGGGGATAGAACGCATAATTTTTTGTGGTTGTTGCAAAGCGTTTTTTTTTCTTGCACAATTAACGCTCCCACGTGCACGCGCATGTAAGCCAGAAGTCTCGCTCGCGAGAGTAAATGAGGGAGAACAGAAACGCTGCTGTCTCATCCGCCACCTTTCACCTTCATCCGTGCTCTCCCTATCAAACTCCCCGCTTCCATGCACTGCTCCAGCGGCTACTCCCACCCCGCCACGGCATTATCAATCCTCCCCCATGACGCGCAAGTGAATTTTCCCCGTCTTGAGTGAGGGATTTTTGAAGTGGGTCAGCGCGCCCCCATGAATAGTAATGGCCCGCCGGTTAATTTCCTACACGCAAGCCGAGATGGTTTGATAAAATGCATCAAATTAACCCTCAAACAGCAGCCTGATATGTTTTTTTTTCCCAATTCCAGCCGAGTGCCAGAGAGTGAGAGAGTCGTTAAGTCGTTTGCATCGGACGGCGATGTTGGGGAGCGGGGCTAGGGGGCGGCGTCTCTAAAGATTCCTGTGTACAAATAAATGGTTGAGATCTGCCGATTGAGAGCTGCCTCTGCGTGGGACCCGGCTCCTGATTATTCTATTGTCCCACGAGTGAATCATAATTCCCTTTCATATTCCAAGCGTGCCGCTGATGTACAGATAACCGTTTATTATTTAAAACCTCCTTCCCCACCGCCCCGCCACGAAGCATCTTTGTTTTGACGGATATTGTGCCCCATAAGTTATCCGCGTGCATTGAGAGACCTGTTCGAAAATTTGTAAGTCAAATACACGCTATCCTACCATGAATCTCCGACGTCTAATAAATTTGGGGTATGCAAATGATATGCAAATGAGGCATCTTTAATGGCGAAAAACAATCTGAGCTCACGGTGCCGTTGGCAGAAGCGGCCATGGGACTTGGGGAGAGCAGGCGGAGAGCAGGCGGAGAGCATGGGGTGAGCGTGGGGTGAGGATGGGGTGAGGATGGTGAGAGCAGGCGGAGAGCGTGGGGGAGAGCAGGGGGAGAGCAGGGGGAGAGCGTGGTGAGAGCAGGGGGAGAGCGTGGTGAGAGCAGGGGAAGAGCGTAGGGGAGAGCGTGGGGTGAGGATGGTGAGAGCGTAGGGTGAGCAGGGGAAGAGCAGGGGAAGAACGTAGGGGAGAGCGTGGGGAGAGCATGGAGTGAGCGTGGGTTGAGCGTGGGGAGAGCTTGGGGAGAGCAGGGGGAGAGCGTGGTGAGAGCGTGGGGAGAGCGTGGGGTGAGCATGGGGAGAGCGTGGGGTGAGGATGGTGAGAGCGTAGGGTGAGCAGGGGAAGAACGTAGGGGAGAGCGTGGGGAGAGCATGGGGTGAGCGTGGGTTGAGCGTGGGGAGAGCTTGGGGAGAGCTTGGGGAGAGCATGGGGAGAGCGTGGGGAGAGCTGGCGATGAGCGTGGGGTGAGCGTGGGGAGAGCGTGGGGAGAGCAGAGGAAGAGTGTGGGGAGAGCGTGGGTAGAGCAGGAGAGCTGGCGGTGTACGGCAGCGACAGCGGGGTTGATTCACCTCCGACAAGAAGCGGTGGGTGGGGGGGTGCATACATCCTTATGGTAATGGCTTGGTAATTTGTAAGATGTCTTGCCCCCTATTTCACGGATTTGGGTGGGGGGGGGGTGAGCTTAGGAGCATGGGGGCGAGTGCTTCTCCTCCCCTCTGCCGGTCAAGGATCGATGAGGTCGGCAGCGAGGGTAGCGGCACCAAAGCCACCATCTCTCCTCTCGCTGGCCGCTCCCCTTCCCACGTTCTCACTCCTTGCCTAATTGTCACCGTCGTATTAAACGAAGCGTGGCGCGGCCAGCCGACGGCGCTGCCCGTCGTCGTCAACACTTGTCGGTCGCTGCTTGCCCACCTCATGGCTTCAAATCTCTCCCCCCACCCCCCTCAGGCTCTGTGTGCTGCAGATTCCAGCCATACACAGCCAGGCAATTACAAAATATTAATTCTGAATGTCGTCGGCACGCTCCTTCTATCTCTTTCACCCTCGCCGCCTCTTTTCTGCTTCCCCCTACTTTGTATATTTATTTTGCTCCCCTCCATTCTCCTCTTTTTGTCTTGAATACTCTTCCACCACCACCACCACTCTCACCTCTCTTCATTGCTACCTCCTTCTGCCAGTCACTCCCATCTCCGCGTGAGTTCCTTTCGCTGCCCTTCGCTTGACATTTTACAGCGATGCGGACAGCTCCGCGATTCTCTCCCCGTCTGTGTTATTAATGCTTTAAAAGTCGTTCTTTTTTTTTATTTCGCGACGCTCTGGGTACTCGGGTGGTGCAGAGTTCAGGAAAAGCTGCTACCCCGTGCTGATATTTTGGCAGCAGCAGTAGCAAAAAAAAAGATACACGATGCACTAGGAGTAGAATATCAGCCTTAATTCCACATCTGCTTACTCACAGCAAACACAAAAACAAGTGTTATGTTCATTGCTAAATATATACCTCGAGCACATTTAGTTGACTGCTATATTTGTACAACAAACTTACCAGCTTGTACATCGGTTAATGATTTGTCGATGCACCTATCGGGATGTACATACATCTATGTAATTATAACATCTATTTTGATTTAAAGCTTTCGTGACTGCAGGGATTCATATTCTTGGTTCTTTCGGTAAAGTCATGTAGAAGGGAAACAATAAAATAATAAAAATATAAAACAATAAAATTCTCACGTGTGAAAACCACAGCAAATTTCAAATGTTCTTGCTGTGGTTTTCACACCTGATGATGATTGCTTGTGTTGCAGTCGAAACGTCGTGAGAATTGTATTTTATATTTTATTTTATTGTTTCCCTTCTATGTGACTTTACCGAAAGAACCAAGAATATAAAACATCTATGTTATTTAAATCTTGGGAATGTGCCTCTGAGTAACCATCCATGAGTCGTTACTCGTACTCGGGGAGATGTGCAAATGGGTAGTGACCTATGAACCTAGCAGCCTGAATTCAGTCCGAAACCAACCCTCTCGCCATCCCATACTGACGAGCATATGAAATATGGTCAAACAGCCTCCATGACCTGGGGGCGCTCCGGTGGCGAGATGTTAACAACCTCGCCTGGTATACAGGAGGTCATGGGTTCGATCCCGACCCTGACGCTTGCTGTATATTTGGAGTTGGCATGTTCTCCCTGTTCTCCCTGTGCTCGTTTGGATTTTTCTCCAGGTCCTCCCATTTTCCCACTCCACATTCAGAATATTGCAATTCGAGTGTTTGGCTGCTATAAACTTCCACACGACGACAAGCCACTTCGTTGAAGCTATCATTTGTGGCCAAGTCGCTTCTGAAAAAAAGAGTTCTACAGCTCAGTGGGCCTTACCCGGTAACATAAAAATCGTAGTAATAGTCATGACCGTCATGGGGTGGGGAGTTCTTCATCTGACAGTGGATTAACAACAGTCTGTAAAGTACAATTCAGTAATTTATATAATCTGTTATTCACTGATATCCCCATGCTGAATATCATGTATACATCTTGCAAGGTTAAATAGTTCTTTCTTCGTTATTGAGTGACATTTTTGATCCACGTATTACTTTTCACTCGCACACCAGCCGTCATTTCTCCACTGTTGGACAAAGGCCTCTCCAAGGCTTCGCCGTCTCTCGCCCTTCTACGATGCGATCGTCTTAATCTTCCTCCATGCATTGTCAGCCGATCTCATTGTTCTATTGTTCTATCTCTTCAGTGCGTGTCTTGTTGTGCGCAATCCCTCCTTTTGCTTCCATTCCGTGACCAGCCGCTCGACCGTTTTACGAGGTCGCGCTCGTTGCGCACAAAAGTGCTCACCACAAGTGAACCACGGTTAGCTTGGGCATCTCGTCAAGGAGCATCAACCATCGGGCAAAACTGCGGTCATCCTCGCAGCGGTTTCTTGTCTAGCCATGGAACAAAGATGGTCACTGCATCGCGTGCTTTCAGATGCGCTTCTGTGGTGGCCGTCTGGAACGCTCTTCCTTCCAATGTTAGGAACTATGCACTTTTAAATCTAGATTTAAAACTCATTACTTTAGAACTGCTTTTTGTGTTTAGTTTGTTGTCCTTCACCCAGACCTCCGATTGGCACGGTTGGCTACGTATGGCGCGAAATAAATTCAACGTATAACCATGCATCAGTCATCATCTCTTCTAGAGATGTGCCCTGCCAAAGCCCGCTTGTATTTCTCAACCGTCAATACGACGTCTCCGGCTGATGTGTTTTTTGTAATCCAGGTGTTGTTCCTTCCGTCTCTCAGTGCAATCCACAGCATGCACCTCTCCACGCATCTTTATTTACTCGTCAGCTTTTTTTCTCTTTGCCATTTTTCTCTTTTATCATTGACAATTTTTCTAATCCCTATATCAAGAGCGGGTGATGTGTGTATGCTACGGGAAAAAAATATCACTGCAGTTCGTTTTTTTTCATTCGTATCCAGTTGAGAGCCCATCAAAGCTGCAAGTCTCTCTTTCGAGGGAGACATGGGGTCACGGAATGTAAACAGTTATCCACTAACGGCAATATTAGAAAAAAAAACATTCACAATTTCAAAACGGAATGAAAGTCTGAGATACCCAAAAAAGAAACTCTTGAATGGAAAATTATATCGGTCAAAAATGTTGAAGTCATCAGCGTGTGCAAGCAAAAAGGAGCCTATTGATGAAAGGAGACATCACAAGCATTTACATTCAGATCATGCAAGCTATGGACCCAGTTTATTACAGACAACTTATGGAGAGGGAACTCTTTCAATGTAAGAGATGGTGTGTGTAAATGTTTTTTTCTATGTGGCTTGTGTCTGTACGTGTGTGTTTGTATGCATGCATGTATGTGCGTGTGTCTGTGGGGAGCGGTAGTACAGTGGTTTGCGCACCGCGCTACGAACCCGGTCTGCCGAGTTCGTTTCCCGCTCATGACCAACACCGGTGACCGGTCCTGGGCCTCCCCTAGGTCTACTCGGCCTCAAACGAGTACCTGGTGCAGTGTGTAAACATCACCGCTGTGGATACAAAGGCGGCTTGGCGTGGTGCTGGCCACCCACCCTCTCGTGTGCCGTGTTGGCCTTCATAGGTGCTCGCTAACAGCACTTGCCCCAACAGCATGTGCAGGCTCTACGGTGATCATTTGTCCTTTGTGTGTTGTTGTTGTGGGTGCAATGGTGATACAGAGGTCAGGGCACCACGTTATAAAACCAGAGACCTCGCTTCGATTCCTGGCCACGTCTTCGCATCAGCGGCGCGAGTGATTTTTGGACATCTGATCAAGTTCTGGGCCTCCCCTAGGTTGAATCAGCCTTCGACTAATCGAAGTCGCGGTGTGCGAACGTGAACAGTGCCACACTGCTGGCCACAACCGCCCTGTCGTGCTCCACACTTTGCCTCGCTGTGTACTCACTGACAGCCCCCCCTGGCCCCCCAACAGTCGACGAAACCACTTGACGCGGGGAACGGTTTTTTTTCCCTTCTGTCCGTGCGTGCGTGTGCGTGCACCCTACGTATGCTACAGGAGCCCTACAGATCGACAACAGCCAGGAGATGGACCAGGGCAAGTACGAATGCGTGGCGAGTAACAGCGTGGGAACTCGCTACTCGGCACCCGCCAACCTCTTCGTGAAAGGTACGGTGTCAGATGGGGGGGGGGGGGGGGGGGGGGCAGCCCCACCACTTGCACAGCCCCACGGCCCCCTGCCACTCATCGCCTCCTCCCCACCACCGCCCGCCCCAGAAGTCTCCCCGCTCGCAACCACCACTTCATGACCTCTTGGATATTCCCCCTGTGCTCTACACTTCACCCCCTCACCTCCCCCACCACTCTTTCCCACTCCGTGCCTCCCCCTGCATCCCTCCCACTCGTCCTCTCCGGGACCTTGTTGTTCTCGGAGCACACACCCGTTGCTTAGCCTCCGAGGGTGGCTCGAGTTTTGCCGCGCCCGAAGATTCGCGCCAGGCGCCGCTCCCGCCGGAGTGCTCGTGTGAAGCGACAGTGCTATGGAGTTCCCCCCCCCCCACCCCGCGCCCACTCGCGGGCCACTTTGTATGCTGCAATCCTCACCTCTGCACACGCATATTGCCGTGCGCTCCACAGTGTCATCTATTGGAAATCTGCGAGGCCTACGAGACAGCTGTGAGCAAGAGCTCGATAGCTCGTCGGATTCCACCGGTATAAATCAATTATCTGATGTTGATTTTGATACACGGGTGTGCCCGCGTGTTCGTTCGGCGCGGTGTTCCGACGTCCCACGCCGCGTGCTTTGGAGCTCCTTCAAATCCTTTTCCTGCGCCGAAGAAGCCCCAGAGAAGGGGAGCGAAACGTCGCCTCCGCAACGCCACGCGTAACACGCGACGCCACCCGGAAACGCATCGAAGAGATCTGCAGCACAGCTGTGGAGACCGACGCGGTATTGTTGTTCCGTCGTTATGAAACTGATGCCTTTTAACGGCCAAGTAGGTTCTTCCAGGCGTAACCGCCTACCCATTTTCAATTGTGCGCACAAGGTTGAGAAGCCACGTATTGTCACTTTTTTTTTTGTCATCCGTGCGGAGTTGTAAACCCAGTGCTCTGTGTGTACTTGAATGAACCCTGGCGCTCATAGCTCTCCGTTTGCGTTTTGGGGTTCGGCCCGTGTGTTGTTCGGCGAGAACCGCACGCCGTGCAGCCCAAAAACACCGATTGGAGAGCTGCACGGCACAGCCAAGTAGTATGTACACTCCAGCGCTCAGGTGAAGCGCGCATAAGAAATGCTTACAGTACTCGCAGGTTTCACTCGGAGGACGCTACTGACCACTGGCATCAATCGGTAGGATCTTTTTGTAATGATATATGGGACCAGATTCACATCGTGATGAAATGCCTTTGTGACTTGTCCCTCTGTGGCGCAATGGGAGACATGGGCACATGTTTTTTTTTATCATATGAAATATTTCCTGATGAGTACTTGTTTGAAAGACTACCCGGGGATGCCAGGTAGTTGTAGGTATGAGCTATAAAGTGACCAGACGATAACCGTGCAAGGAAAGATTCTTGAATCCATCTGTAAATCCTCGAATGTTACTTTACTCGCATGGCAAATGCGATGTCTCCGGGTAATTGATCGCTCCTCCTACATGCCAAACACTCGTTAGTGCAATTGGCCAAAAACGTCATGATTCTCAACCCCGCTGAAAATAAAGTCTCGAGGCCCAAGCGAGTCTTTTGCTTGTGGGGTTCATGAAAGCCATTGCAATTGTTAAGAGCTGCCGATGGCACTTTGACGATATTGGAACAAACTAAGTTCTGTGGGGGGAGGAAGTGATTTGAGTTCCGCGTCGTGCGGCGTGTCCAGCTCACGGCCCTTGCTGCGAGGCCCGGACCCTTGGAGCCACCGGCTTAGCGGAGCCGGGACCTTATCAGGCAGGAGGGGAGTGGGGGCGGCGGGGAAGGCCCCTACGGATGACGGCGACATTCCTGAAGTTCTCCAGGGCAGGTTATCAGCCAGTGAGCAGAGACAGCCGTCCCAGCTTCATTTATCTGATGGCAAGTATTTTTCGTGAGTTAGATCAGTTTTTTTTCGGGGTGGGGAGGTGGGGGCGTTGGGCAGGCGGGGGGTGGGGGGAGGGGGCTCTCTGGGGAGGGGCTTTTTTTTGTCTAAATCCTTCGGTGCAATCATAAAATGAAGCTGCCGGCAGCAAAGGAAGTGTGCAGCAGCGCTTGGCCATCAAGGTTGGGAGAAGGCGTTTTTTTACTTCTGTTTTTCCTCCCTTCGGCTTATCTGCCGAGACTGAAGGACTGAAGCCCGAACCCCCACCCCCCACCACCGCAGCAGCAGCAGAGTTAGCCATTCTCAGTGTGAAGCACCTTCTTGCCGTCTTAGTTCTGCGAAGATACACTTAGGACCGCTCTGCCGATGCGCATGAAGAAGTCGATTGGGTGTCCCCGCTATCCTTTAGACAAATCGTAAGGCTTGCTTTTTTTTTTCCACGCTGGCATTTCCAGAGGAATTGGTGTTTTTATTTTGATAAGAGTTTCTTGGGTTGGTTTGATTATGTTATATATATGCACGGTTTTTATGCGTGCGTCGTCACAACTCATTGGCAGATAACTTGAGGACTGCAGAGCTTGGACAATTGTTGGTGCCGCGTCATCGCGTGGCTGCCTTCCTGCTTTCTCCGAGTCATTCTCTCTGTTTGTATTGACGAGAGGCGGTGAATACTGTGCGGTGTGCTACAAGTTGAAATTAGTACCATTTAATTATTATTATTATTAGATAATCATAGCAGGTCCACAAACCATGGTGATTTTTTTGTGACCTGGCGATGATGGAATCTGAACCCCTGTAGCCCCATGTGCAGAGTAATGGGCAACACTAAAATGGCCTGAATGTGCTCCAGTCACGCCAGGTTTTCATGAGATACAGGTGTTGAACGGGTCATATTTTTGTTCACTCATCTCTGCACATGTCCCTTCTAAGTAGAGGTAAGACTTGAGTGCCGTGTGATGGACCCGGACACGGCACGGTCGAGAATTGTGTTCTGATGGTGAGGTCGGTTGGATTCCTGGCGTTCCCACGCACGGATGTGCCCTGCGCGAGTGACCTCAGGTGACACAGTGCATGCGCCCCACGTGTAAATAATGTGATACTAAACCAGCGGTTCTCCGGCCCGTCGAGTGCAATTAGCACCGCCACGTTTCCTTAACGTATGGGAAGACACGTTGAAGTGTCGTAGCAATTACGATTAACTTTGCCATCATTTTTCCAATTTTCGTCTCAGCAATTCTGGTTCTGCCATGGCCTCTTGAGAATTGCACGGACAGCAAAAATAACCGATGTCTGCATCCTTCAGGAGCTTCACGTGGAGAGTAGCCTGAGGGAAGATGGGTTTCTGGGGACTTGCGGCGTGTGAAAGTTTTGCCGGTGGCTTGACGCCGGTTTTTGATTGCAGGTGTGGCCGAGGGTAAATGGGGCCGAGGACGTTCGATGATCTGAAAGGGTGGGACGATTTGGCGGGAAGTATGTCTGGCTGAAGCAATGGGCACAGTGCAGCGGTGACCCGAGAAAGTGAGACTCAGGAAACGCACGCTACCACAGCCTCCAATCCTCCAGATAATGGATGGAGGTATGGAATTAATAAGTGAATAAAAAAATAAATTAGTTTTTTTCCTGTACTTTTTATATCCACTTCGAGATGATAATTTGACAGCCCACTGCATTAATAAAGACCTATCCACGCTATATTGGCCATAGTGCCATAGTGGGGGGAGGGGGGGGGTTACCCATACTTCGCCACGCCAGTCAGTGCAGGTTGGTAAAGGGGAGGGGGGCCGGGTTCAATTCAAATGCCACTCTTGAGTGGTATTGACCATGGCCGGGAATTGAACGGCGCTCACCGCATTCGTGGCACCGTGCGCTCTGGCTGCTTGAACCTTCTCTCCACCCCATTGACTCCACTGATTGTAATCAATGTGGTCATAATTACAGCAGCAAAGTTCATAACGTAAATAATAGTCGTAAAGTTGATGATGATAATAATAACAGAGTTGTGGGTGTGTAAAAGTGAATTGCAAAGGTAATTAGAAACACAAATCAATCGGCCTGCAGGTCGGCTGCCTTCCTGCGTTCACGAGGCTGACTCCGTACCGCAGCGGCTAAGCTTTGAGATGGCAGCTCAATTTCACCCATGGCCATTTCATGGATTCGCCTATTGAATATCGAATAATTTATTGCGGATCGTTATATTTTTTTGTTCGGAAGCTTTTCGTGGCATAAAACAGGCGACTTTATTCGCTGCTGAGCCATTTGCTCACTTCCTCCCGCGCGGCTCCATACAAGGTCAAACATCGCACGTCGCTACGATCAAATTCTCATTTCACAAGCGAAGCAGCTTTGAACCTCGTTAGCAGTTGGATGGGTGGTGATCATCGAGGCTCTGGTCGTGAAGTGTGGTGTGTATCACCGCATCATAGGTATGGGATTTCTCCAGCCTCTCTGTTTCCTCCCGTAGGGCAAACACTCATGAACGAAATCATCAAAAAAACATCTCAATTGTGGGAACGAAGCCTGAAAGCAGTATCGAGACTTGGCGAGGCTCTCTCATGTAAATAATCGGCATTATGAATATTATTGCAGATGGGGAGCTTGCCGAACTGCCATCGACAGGCAAAGCAGAATACAAGGTCACGAGGTTAAATTGCAAAAGGAATACTGCACTGGGTTCTTACATAATTGTTCTATTCAACCTGTGCGAATATAGAGGGTCTTGTATTCCTTTGACAGACAGTTTCCCTGCTGTCAAGCCTTGACCACTTTTACTTTCTGTATACGTGTGGCTGTGTTTTTGTTGTTGTTGTTGCTGTTGTTGTTTTTTGCGATTAAATCCCTGCCGCACTATCAACGTAAAGACAGAGCGAGGGGGTTTTATTTTCTGTCGCATTCAAACCACGACAGCAAATTTGTAAATCGCAAACCCAGGGAAGTAGGCAGAACATGATTAACCTCACTTGCGATTTGATGAATTGTCATGATTCAGGCCAGTAATGTCATTGAATAATCGATTATTATTATTTTAATGAATTTCAAATGTCTCGTTTGTATTGCTTCTTTTTGTTCTGCTTCGATGGTCCGGTGTTTGCTCCCTGAGCGT